ATGAATAAAAGATTCGAGAAAAATATCATATGTGCTTTAGACTTTAATAATTCCTCATAAAAAAAACTTTTCTAAAAATTTCATTATACCATCTATGCATACACACTTTGTAAATTTTGTTTAAAATTAGTATTTTTATCAAATTGTGTATTTGTGTTTATGTAACCCTATAAATTTTTGTTAATTATTATCTTTTAACAATAATTATGTGTTGTGGTGTTTTTAGTAGATTTTAGGTGCTTTAGAGGGTTTCTCTAAGCACAAATCTAGTTTAATCCTTATCAAAGAAGTGTATAAAGTTTCTTTTGAAAATTGAGTTTTATAAGTTCATTCTCAAGCTTTTTAGAGAGATACATTAGAGAGAAGGATTCTAAAACTCTAATACTCGATTTCTTCTTTGTAGGCTCTCCGAAGGTGTAGGAAATCATTGTTGGGTGAGATTCGAAGCTTGTAGCTGATAATCAAGGTCGTGGTGTGGTGTAGAGCTTCCTAGAGCTAGAAACCATCTTTTTCTTACATGGTTTTGAGGTTGGTTATTGAGCTTTTGGTGTCTTTGTTTTTCAAGAGGAGAACTTGGTGATTTTGAGAATTTGTTGTTGCATGTTGAATTTATGGTGTAAAACGAGTTGTGGATGATGTATATGTATAGTACATTGCTTTGCATGCTTGGGATTTCTTGTACTTCAGGTGGTTTAAGCCAAATTTGTGAGTGTGCAAGTGTAGAACTCACTATCGCGTCGAGCGCACCTTTATGGCGTTGGGCGTCATCTTAATTAGAGGTGCTTTGTCTCGCTCACGTCGAGCATAGGATTGGTGGTGCTAGGCGTAAGAAGAGAGAACTGTTTTAGGTTGAACTAGCATCGAGCGTGGGTTGAATGATTTCGAGCATGAGATGAGAAAATTAGCTCTGCCTGAATTAGCGTCAGGTGCCAAAGAAGTGGCATCGAGCATGAGGAAAGAGGCTTGTCTCTACCTGATTTGAGGTCGAGCGTGGAATTTTTCCTCGCCAAGCATGAGGGCTTGGGGATCTTTACCTAATCCACGCGCGAACATAGGTTGAATGATGTTTAGTGTGAATGAGGTAGATAATTCCCTGCCTATATGGCACCAGGCGCTAGGCATGTGGCACCAACCGTGGTTTACTTCAAAAATTCTTGTTGTGTGAATGATTAAATGGTGAATATTAATAGTTAAGGAAAATCTATTGCATATTATATGTTGATTAGTGATGTTAGTTCTATGTAGATTGATCGGGAATAATATATATAGATGATTATATGGTTGAAATTATTGAAATGCATTGGTGTGGTGTAAGTTGATTAATGTTGTTAGATTTATATCCATTGACCTATGGTAATGCATATAAATTTATGTTGTTGATGTGTGATGCTAAGAATGCTTTAAGGCATTTAGGCATGATTTATTGACATGTTGAAGAGTTGATGCTAAGAGTGCCATAGACATTTAGGCAGACTACACAAGAGATTGTTTTCAAAAGTTGGCTATCTCATAGTGTAGATATTGGTTTGACACTCTAAGCAACCAACTATTGAAAAACCTTCATAAAGTAGATGATAAATCTTGGAATGGACTATTGAGTCTCTTCTAGATCCTTAGTCAATGTTGGAGTAAAGTAGGAAGTCAAAGGCTACAACCCTTAACTAATTACTGGATAAGTACGTGGTATTGCAATGATAGTTAGCTGGACTATAATCCATATGAGACTTGGTTAATGCATGTCAATGTTGTGGTAAGTCCAAACCCAAACTATGTTTATACTTAACAGTGATATTGAATTTTGCTAGACTAAGTGACAACATTCGAGAAATCATATGTAAGGATTGATATCCCAATTAGCTATTGTTTTAGTAGGCGTGAAAGGTGTGCAAAAGATCGGTTGGTTTAGCAAGGTCAAGCTACTTAAAATGTTCATATTAGTGTAGAAGATCTATGTAGATGAATGTGTAACGACATAATAATTGAGGTGTATGCATATGATGTGGTGTTACTTGTGTTTAGGGTTTATAGTTCAGGGTTTAGGATTGAGATTTTCACTAATGTTTAATATAAGAAGTTTTACAATCATAATACCACATACAATACACTTTTACATTATTAAAAAAATCACTTTTTGTACCCCCAATAAACACTCACTTGTAGCACCACACTACAAGATTCTCCCTTCTTAATTAACTTACTTAAGAAGGTTAAGACAATATAAATGTCTTTTCTTCGACTCGTTACTTAGGTGAGTGACATATCATTCAATACAAATAGTTATCAAAAAGTGGGCATATTGCATGTGTCATGTGTGGGTTTGTAGGTTGTTTCTTATTTAACCATGTTACTTATTTAGGTTTGATTTTCATTTTATTTTCAATATTTTGAGGGCTAATGTCTTGGATTTTTTTCCCTTTTGATTTTATTTAGGAAAAAACATGCTTTTATAGTCTTTCTAAATTCAATTTTAGTCTTTTGAATTTCTTTTGAACTATTTTGGTCTTTTTAGTTTAAAAACTTGTCACTTTTGGTCCTTAAAATGTCTTAGATAACACTTAAAAATGGTTACAAAGTGCTATTTAAATCACTTCAAATATCCAAAAGGGCACATTTCTAATTAGATGGACCAAAATAGAACTTTTTTTATAGACTAAAGCTGAATTTGAGAAATTTTAAAGGTGCGAAAAACATATTTATGAAATTTTAGAGATACCAAAAGTATATTTCACCCTTTTAATTTATTTTGGGCCTAAGTTCAAACTTTTACTCGCTACTATTAGGGTCCAATTAGAAAAACCAAATATTAAAAAGCCCAATTCAACATTTTTCTTGCTTTATAAATGATCATTTGGTCAATTAGGTTTACATCCTTCATTTACCTTATTACCATTTCCTTCTCTCCGCCGATTCCATGGCCATCTGGAGATGTTTTCTTTTCATTCCCAACTCGCCTACTTTTTTTTCCCATTTTCCACCCATCAATGTTACAAGCTTAGATTCTACTCTACACCTATCACAACTAATTCATGATTCAACATTTTGTCTCACATGTTTCCCGTTAACTAGAGCATGCGACATAAAAAGGTTAGATTATTCGAGACGATCTCTCTTTGATCCATTACTCAGGTGAGTGAGACATCATTAAACACAGATGGATCCAGATGATGGCCATCTTGTGAGTGTGTGTGCGTGTTTATAAAATTAACCATGGTAAGTTTTTTTTCACCGATTTTTGTTTATCAATTTAGGGTTAATCATTATTTATGTTATTTTTCTCTCGATTTCTCTTAATTATCGTCATTGTGGGCATCTTGTATCTCTATGTGTGTGTATTTTTATAATCTTAACCATGTTTAGACTTGTTTTTGTCTCAATTTATGATTCTTGATTTAGGATTAATCATTTTTATATTATTTTTCTATTGATTATGTTCATTGTGACCAGAGAAAATAACTATAAAATTATTTTAAAATTATTTTAAACAACCATTTTCCATATAAGGACAAATCTTACATGTAAATGTCACATATAGGTCAAGGTTGATAAGAACAAATCTTAACCACATGATTTCAACTTGACATGAAAAATACTTACCATAAGTTTAATTAGCAAGATGCTTATAGCCATTTTCACACTTGATAATTTATTGTTAACTTCCTACTTATCCACAATAAATAATATTCGCCATTGAAAATTCCATCATAAAATCCTTTCCATTTGAGTCAATTTGTGTATCCAATATCCATCAATTATTAAATACTTAATCACAAAGACAAGCCAAGTTAATGTAGCAACCAGGCAAACCCCAATTCTTGAACCTACAAATACCTAAAACTTCTAATTCTTTTTACATGTTCATTAACTATCATCTTCTCAGATTCCAGAGCATCATCGCACAAGATTTGGAGTATCTTTATTTTCCTATTTACTGGTGGCACATAATACTCACCATTAAAAACTTTTTCATCAAATTCCTTCCATTTATGTTCATCTTTGCATCCATTAACTATTAGATAATGTATTAAGTACACGGGACAAGTCAATGAGTTTAAGAAGCTTAATCATTGGCCTTACAAATACACTGAACAAAATATTTTTCAAATATAAATGATTTTACCAAAATCAAATTATGGTTGTAATAGCATGTTGTAGTAACGCTATTGCAGAATAGAAAAGTAGAGTAGTCTCAATCCCTTTGGGTTTCAAACAATGGAGTGTTGTTTAATAGTAGACACTTTAACTACAATAATATTTTTGTTTTTTGCATGTATTGTGAAAGTATCGTGACACAGGCTTCAAAAATCATTCTTATCTTACATTGTTTAGGTATTTGTGAGAGGAAATATTGTAAGAACATTTTTTGCTACATGCTCTTACAATATTTGAATAAATCATCACTTTTAAATAAAAAACACTATCTTTCATCTATTAAGTGTTAGTTTGATGTTTAGTTATTTTAGTGTAACCAATAGTCTCAAATTCAAATCCTGAATATACAGATTCTTTTAATACATGGAGGAGAAGTTTTATTAATCATAGTGATTTTAATTAACTCAAGTAGAACCACATTTGATAAATGATAAAATACATTATCTCTCTAAAATCTAATTGTTTCTTTTAATCTCGTTCATTGTTACTTATGGAGAACAATATTAGAAAAAATAATTTAAAATATTAAACCATCATTTCTTATACAAGAATTCATGTGTGAATTTGACACTAGAATTACTCTTACAAGTACATCTATGAATAAGTCTCCACTCTCTAGTCATTTTCACAGTCTAGTTTATTGTTAAAGAAAAAAAATAGAAGAAAATAAGAGGTTTTGAATATTATGCTTTCGCGGCATAATACTGACTCATAGGAGTGTACTATTTTTCCTTTTGTCAATCAAAACTTAAATCTGACGGGTGTTGAGTCATTAACAGCTCTCAACGGAGCATTTCCATTAACTTAGACAGCGAGTGAAATGGAGCTGACTCAGCCCGCGTGTCGCGCCAACTCGGACGCGACGAGTCAACGCAGCCACTGACTCGTCCTAGTAAGAATAAGAACAAGGCAACTCGGTAACTGAGTCTTCAGAACAACCCAACCCAAACCAAACCAAACCAAACCAAACCCAACCCCTTTCATCTCTACTCTGCATTTCCTTGACTAGGGTTATCTCTTTCCATTTCTTCCGCTTCTCACACCTTCTTAAACCCTCACACTCACTCTCTTCATTCATTAATCTTCAACGCTCCAATTCCAACCCTTCCTAGGTACGCTTTGGTTTCTCTCTCCATTTCCAATCCTTCTCGAATCGGTTTTCCATTTCTCCAATTCCCTTCACTCCAATCCTCGATTTCATTTCCACTCTCATTTCTCTTCGACGCTTGCTCTATATGTGTGCCTTTGCAGGATCTGATTGAACCCTAGCTTTCGAATCGAGAATTTGTTGAAAAAATTAAAAATCAATCAGAGGCCGTTTCTTTGTAGGATCTTATACTAGGGTTCCAATTCTCTTCGGATTGAACGATGGAGCATGCGGAACAACAGCCGGAGCAGCCGGTTCGAAGACCGAGGGGGCGCCCGAGGAAGAGGAGAAGAAAGGAGGAGGAGGAGAATGAGAACGAGGCGAAGAGGCAGGCTATGGGGACTCGGGCGGTGGCGTTTGTGGGAAGGTATGTGTTGAAGGAGTTTCCTAGAAATGGGGTTTTTCTAGGCAAAGTTATGTATTATGAGTGTGGATTGTATAGAGTTAGTTATGAGGATGGTGATTGTGAGGATTTGGATAGTGGTGAGGTTCGGGCGATACTTTTGAATGATGGTGATTTTGATGATGACTTGGCGCGGAGGAAGGGGGTGTTGGAGAAATTAGTGTTGAAGAAAAATGGAAAGGTGGAAAATGTTTCTGCTGAAGGGAGTAAGGAGGGATTAGCGGTTGGAGTGAGTGAATTGAGTGAAGGGTTGGTGGTTGAAAATGATGACGGAGATGGAAATGATGACGATGACGATGATGATGATGGTGATTCGTCAAGTGACTCTGGTTTGGAGGGGAGGCATTCTGGGATTGATGCCGAGGCGCTGCCGCCTTTGCCGCCACCGCTAGAGTTGCCACCATCATCTGGAACCATTGGCGTTCCTGAGCAGTGTGTCTCACTCCTATTTGCTGTGTATGCATTCTTGAGGTCATTCAGCATTCGCTTGTTTCTAATGCCGTTTACTTTGGACGAGTTTGTTGGTTCTCTTAACTGCCGAATTGCAAACTCCTTGTTTGATGCCATTCATGTTTCCCTAATGAGAGTGTTGCGGCGACATCTTGAAACTGTCTCTTCCGAGGGCTCAGAGCTTGCTTCAAAATGCCTTAGGTGCTTATATCTATTCCTATACTGCTGTAGGATTGTTTGTATAAGTAGCTTGTTTACAGTTTATGGTATCATCTCAATTTCTCAGTTATCCATTTTGGATAGAAATGCTCAGTGGTCAACTCTGAAAATGCTATAGTGGTGGTATGGCCACAATTGTTAAATAGCCACTATATTGGTGCTACAGCTCCATTGTGTTGTGAGTTCATTGAATCCACAATAGTAATTCCGGGAGAAGTCACAACTTTATTCTAAACATTGTTTTAGGGGTAAGAATGGATTTTTGAAGCCTATATGGTGACATCACTATAACACGCAAAAAGACACTTTTGTAGTTGGAATGGCTGCGATTGAAAACCACTCTGCTATATATGAATCCCATAGTGACCTAGGTTTAATCTGCTTTGCTACGCCGTAATAGCATCACTACAGCATGCTATTTGCTACCATTATTTTTTTTGGTAAAATCATTTATATTTGAAAAAAATATTTTGTTTGATGTGTTTGCAGGTGCTATGACTGGAGCATGCTAGACTCGTTGACTTGGCCGGTGTACTTAATAATGTATCTGGTAGTCAATGGGTACAAAGATGGGCCCGAATGGAAAGAATTTTATGATGAAGTTTCTAACGGTGAGTATTATGTGCTTCCAGTATATAGGAAGCTACAAATACTCCAAATCTTGTGCGATGATGTTCTGGCATCCGAGGAGGTGATAGCTGAAATGAATAAGCGAAAAGAATCAGAGGTTCCAGACAATGATGGAGAAGATGTCCTTCCTTCAGAAGTTGGGCTTAGAAGAGTCCAGCCAAGATATGCCAATACATCAGCTTGTGAGGATAAAGAAGCTACAAAGTTTGTTTCAGCTTCAAATGCTGTGAACCAGCCTGGGAACTCTATTTCATATTTAAGAGATACAGAAAGTACTGAAGATTGTGATGTTGATAGAAATGGTGATGAATGTCGCCTCTGTGGCTTGGATGGGACTCTACTTTGTTGTGATGGATGTCCCTCTGCTTATCATTCTAGGTGTATTGGCGTGATAAAAATGCATATACCAGAAGGGCCATGGTATTGCCCAGAGTGCAAAATTAATATGACAGAGCCAACCATTGCAAAGGGAACATCACTCCGAGGAGCTGAAATATTTGGAAGGGATTTGTATGGGCAACTCTTCATGGGTACTTGCGAACACTTGCTTGTGTAAGTTCAAGATTTTTGTAGTTACTCTCATTTGTTATTAGTATACTGGATAAGTAGTATTTCTGAAGTTAATGAAATTTGAAGTTCAGTTCTAAAATTTTTAGACTTTAATTTGTGCTTAATCTTTTTCTCATTCTATGCTATCATTCTCACCATAGATGCACTTCAATTTCTGAAGTTTTGTCCTTATGATCTTTTAATGTGGATTATTGCAGGTTGAATATTGACTGTGATGAATTCCATCTTAGATATTACAATCAGAATGACATTCCAAAGGTTCTGCAAGTGCTTTATGAATCTATGCAGCATAGACCTATATACCATGATATTTGCATGGCAGTGCTACAATATTGGAGTGTTCCAGAAAATTTCTTGTTTCATTCTGTTGCAACTGGAACAAATGTAAACTCTTCAAATATAAAGGAAGAGACAGAGCCCTCTACTTCATTACTTCCTTCTTTGGGTGAAGGCAACAATAAACCTGTTAGTTTGGTGAAGGAAGAATATCCTTTAACCACTGTAAGTACAATTTACAGTGCTGATATGGTGCCTCAGTGCTATGCCAATGATAGCAGTAATGAGTGCCCTACTTTGACTATGAAGCTTCCTGAGGACACTAGGATTGAGTCCATCATCTCAGCTGATTCTGCTTCTGTTTCTGTTAGTCATCAGTCTGACATGAATCATCAAAATTTTGTTGATAGGCCAACGGTTGTAGATCCTGCTAAGTGCTCTATGGCAAATGGTGAATTTAGTAATTATGGCCATGCAAATGATACTGGGTTGCCCATAACTGTTTCTTTGCTAACCAAAGAAAGCACCCAATCAGGTTTTGAAAAGTGTGAACGCAATGTAATCAATGATTTTGCTTACAAGGGTCTCTCCTATAAGCCTCTGTCATACATTAATTACTATATACATGGTGATTTTGCTGCTTCAGCAGCTGCTAAATTTGCCCTTCTTCTGTCAGAGGAATCTAGGTCAGATGGCCATGTGTCCGACAGGAGAACTGCATCTGTAAACACTTACTTGCAAGCAAAAGCATTCTCACTAACTGCATCGCGATTCTTTTGGCCAAGTTCTGAAAAAAAGCATGTGGAGGTTCCGAGAGAAAGGTGTGGCTGGTGCTTTTCTTGTAAAGCCCCTGTTACAAGCAAGAGAGGATGCATGTTAAATCATGCTGCTTTAAGTGGCACAAAAAGTGCTATAAAAATACTTGCTGGTTTTTCTCCTATAAGAAGTGGAGAGGGAATACTCCCTAGTATTGCTACTTACATTATATACATGGAGGAATGTCTACGTGGTTTAGTAGTTGGGCCCTTCCTAAGTGCAAGCTATAGAAGGCAGTGGCGTAAGCGAGTGGAACAGGCCACAACATTTAGTGCTATCAAGCCACTTTTACTTCAAGTAAGTGATTATTAAATTTTTTAATTTGTTTTATTGTTATATTTTAGTTTTTGCAAATAGTTCATATGTTGTTGATGAAGACACACATTGGCATTTAGCTAGTTTTGCATTTGTTATTTGACTTGTCTAGTTTCTCATGTAAAATGTACTACCTGCAATATAATCCTTGATGTGTAGCTCCTCAAGCATCGTAGTGAGGTGTTAAGATCCCTTCTGTCAGGCACTTGCTATTTGGTCTTTTCACTTTTTTGTGCGTCTGTAAACTTTAAGATGGTTTTGTGCTGTTTTGACCCAAACAATATAGAAGATAAAACCTTATTGCTGGCATGTTTTAAGATAAATAGACTAATAGATTGATTATAACTTATATTGCATAATATCTATTCATGACATTTCTTGTTTGTGCCATTTGAGCTACTTTGTTAGTCCTTTATTTTCCAATAATAATAAATTTTCATTTTCAGCTTGAGGAGAACATTCGAACGATTGCTTTTTGTGGGGACTGGGTTAAGCTGATGGATGATTGGTTGGTTGAATTTCCCATGGCACAAAGTGCCACATCTACTGTTGGAACAGTACAAAAACGAGCACCAAGTGGGAGGCGTTACAAGAAGCGGTCAGCTATTGATGAAGCTTCAACTGATGGCTGCTCCAAAAACTGGGTGTGGTGGCGTGGTGGCAAATTCACCAAATTTATATTCCAGAAAGCAGTCTTGCCAAAATCCATGGTCAGAAAAGCAGCACGACAAGGTATTCTATTTTTAAGCACATAATATACCAGAAGGGATGGAATATAGGAAAGATAGAACAGAAACGAAGGAAAAATGGAACTCTTTTATTGAATAAGAGAATAAGGTTCTCCCTTCCAATCAAAATCAGCAAGAGTTCAGGAATGAAGCTGAAGCTGAAAAAATAGAGTAGGTCTCTCTTTACCCAGGAATTCTGAGAGTCCTGACTCTCCACCTTAACTTTCTGAATGCACACAATACCCATACACCTTGCCCTCTTTTCCCCCGTATACAAAGCCAATCCTCCATTCCATGTGTACTTAGCAGAATCTGTTATAACTGACAGATTCTCAACTGACGGACCAACCTGCTTGTTATGCATTAGAAGTGGGTCCACTGAGGGGCCCAAGTGACCCAATGATCTTCCTAATTTTTCCTTCAAACATCCATTTTCCTGGTTTATTATTTAGGGTGGGGTGGGTCTAAAGATGAGCTGTATCGAGGCTGAATCTTTCAAGGTGGTTGAACCAAGCTCAAAATTCAGCTTGGCTTGATTTTAGTTATTGTTTTTTAATTTATTGTTTTATGAATTCATTAATTATAATTTTTATTTCAACATTATCTTTTTTTAATTAAAATGTTGTATTGTGTATATGTTGAGATGACAAGTGAGCTCTAAGTTAAATATTGAGTGTAAAAGATACAATATACTCACCTGATATAATCGAAGTTAGGTTGGGCCAGCATACAAAGCCTACTGAATGTTTCAATTTGATTGTCTCCCCAGCTTTCCTGTTCTTTAAATTGTTAGGGACTAAAAGCATGTTCTGTTTATTGTGGGGAACAGGTGGTTCGAGAAAAATTTCAGGCATTTCCTATGCTGATGGCTTCGAAATCCCTAAAAGAAGTAGACAACTCGTTTGGAGAGTTGCAGTTCAAATGAGTAGGAATGCATCACAGCTGGCACTTCAGGTTCCCTATTTTGATTGTTATATTTCAAGCATTAGCTAACCTTGTTTGGCTGTAAGTATATTGGATCTTGCAAGCATTGTGACTTTGTGAATATTTGATTATTTGCATCAGGTTAGATATCTAGATTTTTATCTCAGATGGAGTGATCTGATTCGTCCAGAGCAGAACATCCAGGATGGGAAAGGTCAAGAGACCGAAGCTTCTGCTTTCAGAAATGCAAATATTTGTGACAGTAAAGTTGTAGAGGGGAGAAGTTGTTACGGAATAGCTTTTGGGAGCCAAAAACATCTTCCTTCTCGTGTGATGAAAAATGTTGTTGAAATAGAGCAAGGTCCAGAAGGAAAGGAAAAGTATTGGTTTCATGAAATGCGTATTCCTTTATATTTGGTAAAAGAGTATGAAGAAGGTAATGGAAACGCCCCATGTAATGAAGAGCACTTGAATACTGCATCTGAATTACTTCACAGAAGGCGATTGAAAGCTGTCTGCAAGGACATATTCTTTTACCTTACCTGCAAGAGAGATAACTTGGATGTGGTGTCGTGTTCTGTATGTCAGATGGGTGTATTAAATCGGTAATTACCTAGGCTTTATTTGTTTTCATTCATATTTTTCTTTCCCTTTCCCATTTTGCGATTTCCATCTTTTTTCTCTAAAGATCATTATTCCTATCTGCTGTGATTTCAGGAATGCTCACAAGTGTAATGCATGTCAAGGTACCCATGAACATTCATCATTCTTTCTCTATTTTGCTGTCCCAAGTTTCCAAGATAACTTCGATGGTTCATTATCTTTTTTAAGGACTTGAACATAAGTAGTATTTCTATATAATTAACATTGCTACGCACTCGCAAACAATACTTTTTTAATGATGTTTAAAATTTAAAAGTCCAAGACTAAAATTTGCTGGTTGATATGTTACGGTGATATCTTAGTTTTTTTATATTATTCTAGTAATCTAGTTCATAAATGTATCTTGTTCCACATGGATATTAGGTTATTGTCATGAGGGCTGTTCCACGAGTTCAACATTCTCTTCAAATGAAGTTGAGACCATATGCAAGCAATGTTACCATGCCAGAATTCTTGCTCAGAAAGAGACTAATAATGAATCTCCAAACAGTCCGTTACTACTCCAAGGACGAGTGAATAACTCTGGTGCATTTTTGAAGGGATCAAGGCCTAAAAGCCACGATCGAGTACCAAAATCTTCCAGGACAAAGGCACCAAATCCTGACATGAAACAAGTTACCCCTGTGGTTGTTTTGAAAGGAACAAAGGCTAAATGTTATGAACAAGAACCGACTTCTACCAGGACAAAGGATAATCAAAACGCCCTCGCAAAATTTGTTCTTGGGGTATTATATGGAAAAAGAAAAATAATGAAGATACAGGCAATGATTTCAGCCGCAGAAACATACTTCTAAAAGGGGGTTCAAGCATGCCACAATCACAACCTGTTTGTCATTTGTGTAGTAAGCCATATAGCTCTGATCTGATGTATATTTGCTGTGAGGCGTGCCAACGTAAGTTTCTCTGTAGGAAGTACTAACTCTGGTCCTTTTGTAAGAAACTAATGATAGTGTAAAAATACACTATCATGTGTTTCTTATAAAGAGAGAAACTAATGATAGTGTAAAAATACACTATCATGTGTTTCTTATAAAGAGCACCAAAGGTAATTGATAACGTGTTAAAGGTATTGATACTCATTTATGTTGTGTGTTTGGTTTTCACAGATTGGTATCATGCTGAGGCTGTTGAACTTGAAGAATCCAAAATTTCTAGTGTGTTGGGCTTCAAATGTTGCAAGTGTCGCAGGATAAAATCACCCACCTGTCCTTACGCCGATCCTAAGCCTGAGAGACAAGAGGGCAAGAAGTCACGCAAAAGGCCTTCAAAGAAAGAGCATTCTGGAGCAGTAGGTACTGATTCTGGAGCAATCTTTGATACTAGGGAGTGTGAAGCTGCTACCCCTGGCTTTCCTGTAGAGGACGGTTCTACTCCTGTCTTTCCTTTAGAGGACGATCCTCTTCTTTTCTCCCTTTCGAGTGTTGAGCTGGTAACAGAACCTAAAATAGAAGGGGATGTTGAATGGAACGGTGTCCCTTGGCCAGGGCTTCAGAAACTGCCTGTGAGAAGGAAGCATGAAGGGGATGGTGATGTTTCTTTTGGAGGTACGCCTTTGCATGGTGAATTCTCAACCTATGGTGAGGCAGGTAATCCCACCATACCTGCAGAGGAACCTTCAGAATACGCCTCTGCTGTGAACGACTCGGATAATGTAAATGTAAATTATGATTACATGGATTTTGAACCTCACACCTACTTCTCTGTAACGGAACTGCTGCACTCAGATGATGGTAATCAGTTTGACGGAGTTGACGTGTCTGAGGATTTGTCAGGATATTTGGAAAATTCTAGTGCTCTGGCTCCCGGAGATCATGCAGAACCTGCATTTTCATTGCAAGACACCGGCTATAGTTGTTGTAAATGTCTACAAATGGAACCTGTACCTGATCGCTGTTGTGAGAATTGTGGGATGTTGATTCACAGCCAATGTTCGCCTTGGCCTGAATTACCATCAATGGTTGAAAATTGGACCTGGAGGTGTGGGAATTGCCGGGAATGGTAAGTAATTTTGTAATAATGAATGTACATTATTTTGCTCTGCGGCCTCGATGGGGATGGGTTTTTGTTGATGCTCTGGAATCATGGGAGATATCGGCTGATTTTAATCCCGATATTTGGGATTGTTTTTCCCATTTCAGATATAAGCAGGATTTTTTTTACAATGCTTATCTGATACATTATTTGTATAGATTAAAAATTCTCATTTTTTTTGTAGTCCAAAAGTTAAGAAACATCTATATACTGCATTCGTATGCATATTTACTCCGTAGAGTTACAGCTATTTTCTTTGTAGTTATCTGTTAGTGCAATTTTTGTCATTACTTCACACCCGAACAAATGCAAACGGAGGGCCCGTATTACTTGGTTCGTGTTTTTTTTACCCGGGTTCTCCTTCTGGATATTATATAATTTCACTGCAAACGCTACGTTTTCTGCAACAAATTGACTTAGCATTTTGAAGGCAAAAGATATGTACAACACTCCCCCATTTATTATTGTTTACAATTTTCTCTATACGAGACTTTTTCAAGAGCAACAACGAATGATCCAGTAAGAGGTAAGGGTAAAATTATAAGAAAATTGAACCCTCGCCAAATGATATTAAATTGGAGTTAAGGGGCACCACTTTGCGCAGAAAATCGATCGGCCCATAAATTTCAAACTCTACTCACCATCCATTCCGTCATTCCTTCCACACCCATAAATTCGCAATTGTTAACTAACATTTGTAGTTTTTGAGGCTTTTGCGTAGCTGTGTGTGGATGTCGACTACTAGCTCCTTGATGAACTCTTTCAACCTGCAAATCAGTATACAATTTATCTATAAAGGCTCATAATTTGATAAATTACATACTCGAACGTTATTATTGTTGGGTATCCCGAAGCAACTGTCATTTGCAGCTGGAACTGTCTGCAGGATCCAGTTTCAATTCTTATCTTAACACACCATTTAATTTAAAATGTTGAAACCACGTTTCAATGATAAATGCGTATCATTATGAATGATCATTTGTGATCTCGAGCGAGCAGATTTGCCTTATTTTCATACAACATTATTTCAAGAATTGTAAATTAAACCTCAAGCAGGAACCGCAAAGAAATGTAGTCTAACTTAAAACTTAGTAAGCATATCGCGCTTGTACTTTTTGAATAGAATGGGGTACTCGCAACAAGATTGTTTGGATTGGGGTCCTAAGGTTGATCGATAGCAGGGAAAAAAAAACGAAATAAATAAACAGGTGATAAAAAATTAACAGGGAAATAAACAAAAGTGAAAAAGGACTTGGCCATATGCATATAGTTAAAAGGTAACTAAGGAACAAGTTTATCTAAACAGATCACCATAAATTGCAAAATTGAATTAACTCACTCAAAATTCATATATAACTGAATAGGCAAGTATACAAATTTAAATACACAATACATACCACTTGGAGCTTCAAAGGTGGTCCAGAAAGTGATCTTCATTGAGGGAAAAACTCTTCAGCAGATACATGTGTAGTTGAAACTTGTTTAGGACCAGCTGGAAGTTTGGTATTGATGTATGAAAGGACACAGATGTTCATGCGGTCAAATGGTGAATCCACAGGTTCACAATTGTTGCCTGTCAAAAAACTAAAATCTTATATACAATCTTATATGTGATATTTCAATTTCCTCAGCAACAAAGATCAGTTTAATATACAAGAACTCATTTCCATAAAAGCTAACACTGCACAGAATCACAAATTGGACCTTCAAGCAAAATCAACGTGATAAAGGTTTCAGATTACATAAGGGACTTCATGAGACCACTCTCAAGATAATTTGCTTTAATGCAAAATAAAGTTGTAATGGGCCAAGCTCTTTACATATAAATTTTATGCAGTTGCAGTACATGTTAAATGATACATGCTTAGCATGGCTAACTGAGGATGGACAAAAAGATTCTTTTAGGATTGTCTTTGAAGGGCCTCAGAGGGCCAATGAGATTGGAAAAAAACTCGACAAGAAGTCCAATGTCTGAAAGAAAATCCATGGATGACCAAGAAAGAAGGTTCATTACTTGGAGCCAATTATTAGAATAGGATTTTGGCACTTGATGCTTGTAACAAGTATTTTTGGGGGTGTTATTGATCAAATTTTTGCTTATGCAAAATTTCAAAAATTGGCTTAAGTGAAAAATATGGTTTAAGCCAAGTTTGCTTCACTTTAGGGAAAATTTTCTTGGCTGAAGCCTACTTTAATTCTCTCCAATTGTCAATGAGGCAAGACTTTTTTTGGCTTAGGCGAATCTATCTACGAGTTAATTAAATTTTTTGTATTTTTTAATTCTTTTGCACACCTTTTGGTCTCCTTTGAGTGTTTGGACTGTATTTCAAACTCACATTGTATATCAATCTATCTATCTATCTATATATATATATATATAATTTTGTGGGCTTAAAATATTTGTGATAGAAAAAAATTCAGTTATATATATATATATATATATGAAGAATGATCCGTTTACTTCAGGAGTATGTCTTACTCTGTTCAATAATTCATGTTCTATATCAAATCTCAATGATTCAACCATTAAATTTAAAGTTCTTAATACACAAATTAAATCTGCAAATTTTTAAAAAATTTGAAAATCATTTGATATTTATTTCATTAATTTAAATTGACAGATAAGCATAAAACAAAGTATTAGATGGTTTTCAAATTTTTTAAAAATTTGCATATTTGATTTGTGCATTAAGAACTTTAAATTCAATGGTTGGATCGTTGAGATTTGATATAGAGTATGAGTTATTGAACAGAGTAAGTCTAAGTAGCCTTATTCCTGGAGTAAACGAATCCCTCCTATATATATATAT